TCAACCATAGCAGAAACACTATCTAGTATGTGAATGTTACTAGCCTACCTTCAGTTACCAGTCAACCATAGCAGAAACACTATCTACCCCGGTAGTATGTGAATGTTACTAGCCTACCCTCAGTTACCAGTCAACCATAGCAGAAACACTATCTAGTATGTGAATGTTACCAGCCTACCCTCAGTTACTAGTCTACCCTTAGTTACCAGTCAACCATAGCAGAAACACTATCTAGTATGTGAATGTTACCAGCCTACCCTTAGTTACCTGTCAACCATAGCAGAAACACTATCTAGTATGTGAATGTTACCAGTCTACCCTCAGTTACTAGTCAACCATAGCAGAAACACTATCTAGTATGTGAATGTTACCAGTCTACCCTCAGTTACCAGTCAACCATAGCAGAAACACTATCTAGTATGTGAATGTTACCAGTCTACCCTCAGTTACCAGTCAACCATAGCAGAAACACTATCTAGTATGTGAATGTTACCAGTCTACCCTCAGTTACCAGTCAACCATAGCAGAAACACTATCTAGTATGTGAATGTTACCAGTCTACCCTCAGTTACCAGTCAACCATAGCAGAAACAGTATATAACGTAGTTACCATTCTTTTCCCAAACATCAACAAATCTGGGCGCATTTTTTGCCTGTAGTGTTACTATATGTATTAAATAATAATGAAATCGTAGGAACCCAAGAACCATTCTTCTTCCTGTAATTCTCTCGTCTGTTATGCGCAGTTCTGCATTGACATAAAGGTCAGCATTAGTCAGGTTGCTGTCGTTTTCTATTAAATTTTTTCCAGTCAACTGACTCGTTACAAACATGCAACCCTATTATGGTAAGGTGAAACAATAGGGGAGAGCGCATATATCATTAAGAAATTGACATTTTAATAATTCAAACCAGGTGGAAATATACGCATCTTTTGTTTCGGGGTCATTGTTTTTTAAATTATTGAGTATGTTTTAAAATTTGTGCTGAATAATTCATGCTGTTAATTCTGTTAAGACTGAAATGGTATATAATATTTTAGTTTTAAAATTGAAATAATATGAAAAGTTTGCTCATCACATAAATGAAACCAGAAATTGTTAGCATAATATTTATTTGTTGTACAGAATTCCATTGCTTTTTGAACAGGATTGTAGAGAATCTGCTCTTATGTCCCTGACCCGAATATTTTAATTAAAGGGATTTAATTAGGTTGATATATTAATTCAGGATATAACATTCAATGTGCTTTTTTTTTGTATATTAAAATCACAAATTTAAGTATCATAATGAATAGTGTGTGTGGAGTGTGAAGTGGGCTGGAAACAAAATGAAAATGAATGATATTGCTTGCAGATGAGTGTACACGTTCGTTTGTCTGTTGTCTTGATTGTTTAAACAGTGGAGAAGAAATTCAAATATGTTATTTGAATGCTTGGCAACTCGCTTGTATCTCGGCATTTCATAACACATTCATTCTACTGATAACAACTAAGATTTACCACATTTGAAAGGTCGATATAGATACCATCTGCAATTTATTATATTATAAAATGTTGTTTAATAAAGAAAAAACTTTAGAGAAATGAATCAACTTAAATAAATAAACAAGTTTATAATTGTGAAAGACTTTATCTTTACAAAACTTATAGTGATGTTTTGTTTTGTTTTTTATGAAAAAGTAGCACTGGAGACCAAAGAAATAATATACAATGCAGAGGATGCCATATACTTTGAAATTCCGCAATCCATCTGTGTGTTTTCCTTGATGTAAGATTTTGTTTGAAGACCAGTACTCAAATTACCATCTGCGGCTGAATATGTTTCTGAAAGCAGAGAATAAATTGACATGACATAAGTGTTGATAGTCTGAAAGCTTTTGACTTTTTGACTGGTGTCACAGTCGCTGTGTGGTAAAATATGTCTGTGGTATTGCTTCATGGACCCCACCCTCTTCCCAAATACATTATGTAATTCACAGTGATCTGTTTACCATACATGTGTTTTTTGGGGCTTGTGTAACATACGCACAAGTGTAAAATAACTAATCACTGCTCATGTAATATACATACCAGTGTGAAATAACCAATCACAGCATACGTAACATATAAGCAAATATGACATAACCAATCACTGCTCACATGATATATGTACCAGTGTGAAAAAGCCAACCACTGCTCAGGTAACAGACACACCAGGATGAAATAGCTACTTGCTGCTCTTATAAAATACACATCGGTGTGTAAAAGCCAATCGCTGCTCATGTAATACATGTACTCATCACCAATTACTTTATACATCGCAGAACTAGAAACAGGCTTATTCTTGAAATTACTTGTTGGTTGTTCTATACTTTTTGTGCTCTTATGCAGTGGCCATTGCTGACTAATTTTTCGTCCCAAGCCTTGATTTTAGGTATCCTTGCAACGATACAATACGTACAAATCGCTGCCGATACGTTCCATCAAGACAAAAGCGAGGCGTGGAACGCAAATAGTCAGCAATGTCCACCGCATGATAAAAGCGAATTAGCATGTCCATATGAAAAAAAAATTGAGAGGTGGTCGAACTCTCATGCCTGGATAGCCAGGGTATGCATTCACTTTTCTATATAAACATTGTCAATAAATTGCTGCCATGATGTTTATACTATTGATCACAAACACAGCCATCCTGATATTTACAATGCTGACAAGCTGGTGTAGGTTGCTACTTCAGTGAGTTTGGCATATTTTCAGCCAGTACACAGTGGCATTAATAGCACATGTGGTTGATATTTCTCTCTGATAGCCATGACTTCCATGTCCTCAGTAATA